AACAGGGTTCACACCTCAGGCATTAGCACAGCCAGCTGTACAAGCCATACTTTGCAAGCTCTAAGCAGCAGTTTCTTCATGACTCAAGATCAATCACCTCACACTGCTGCCTAGTTCTATCCGATGTGAAAAGTCAGAAGAAAAACAAACCCAAACAGATTAAAAACTCAGGACTTTCATCAGCTCCACCAGACAGTCTCTTAAGAGGAGTCCAAGTCTTATGGAGTTATTTAACACTGATGCCATTTCACCTACATTTCAATAAAACCAGTCAGTATAATCTCTAAATTAAGTCTGCTTACGAAGCAGTGAGTCTGGGCTCCAGTGCAGGTGGAGGTTTCAGCTAATGGGAAGTACTAGGAAACAAAAGACAGTGTGATTAAAACCAGCCAGATAAATAGAGCGTGAACCCTTCCATTTCTGGGGCTATTGCTGAAAGCTTGTTTTTTCTTTGTTGCCCTCCGCACACAAAGGCCACAGACTCCAACAGGCCAGCCTACGTTCTGGGCTCCTAGGAAGATCCTTTTTGCTGCAGCTGTCCTCAGAAACCAAACTGATTCCTGAGGCAGGGAATTCCTCCGCTAGGTTGGAGTTACTGAAAATACTTTCCTGTCAAAAGCTCATCCAGCTAAGTCAGGAGACAAACAGTGGAGAGGCAAGCAACACACTAAGGTGCAGCCAGCTTTACTGGCAAGCTGAGCAACATGTTAGATACAGACAACTCCATTATTGTTTTACTATTCTTTAAAGTCGAAAGGATCCAGTCCCAGCTCTTCCCTAAAGTAGGGAGGGATCCTATGTCAGTGGAAAACACAAAAATATATTTATAACTGAAAGAGCAAGTATCTTCAAACTCTAGCATCTTGCCCAGTTTGATTCGTGTCACTACAGCCTGCTGGACAGGGACTCGCAGACACCGTCCCAAGCATTCAGGGTAGCATCAAGGCTGGTGGGACAGATGAATTGGTCTTTTTTTGAGGAGAACCCGAGGATGAAAAGCCTGCCTGGAGCCCCATACACATTTTTCACCCTGTATCTTTGTTTGCAATACGCCTCGTATGTTTGTCAAAGAACGCGGTGCAACGGTCCTTGGTCTCACTCGGGCAAAGTCAACGTTGCACAACACCAGCAGCTTCAGAATACGGCACGGCTGGATTTTCAGGCCAGAGTTCACAGGCAAACGGCAACGGCAGCAACAGCAGGGCGAGGAAAAGGAGTCAGGAATCAGCCAGGAGACCGAGGGTTTGGCCAGGCCGCGGGCACGGTCCCCCTGCCCAAACGCGAACCGCAGAGCTACCGGTACCGCAG